TCTATGAGACAGATAACACACACACACATACACACACATCTTCTATGAGACAGATAACACACACACACATACACACACACCTTCTATGAGACAGATAACACACACACACACCTTCTAGGAGACAGATATAAAATACACACACACACACACACACCTTCTAGGAGACAGATATAACACACACACACACACACACACACACATATCCACCCTCCCCCAAGCCCTGCATTCTCCTGCCTGGCCTTGCCTGAGCCAGGATCAGAGAGCCAGTTACATTCAACAGGACTTCCCAAGTCCCACCTTCTGTCAGGTGGGGGCATTGATCAGAGAGAGGGTGGGTCAGACCTGGGCTCCTGTGCACGGGGAGAATCCTGTACAGGAAATGGACCATGTGATGTGGATTCCCAGACCTGGTCTGCTCACTCTGTGCCTCCATTTTTCACCTGTAACATGGGCATAGTAACAGTATGGAGTAAACCCATTAGATGCGTAGCAAAGTGCATTTGTTTTCCTTGCTCATTAAGGTGATGATTAATGAAGGTCCTGGCCCCTGAATCAGAGCTCGGCTCAGGAGGAGCCTCAGGAAACAGGGCAGTGGGAACCCTGCTTGAGGGTTTAGTCTTCTTACCCATCTCCAACCTGCCTTCCTGCTCAGGCCTTTAGGAAGACTTCTGTCCCTACTCTGAACCTCGGTTTCCCTGCCTGTAAAAGGGGCCCAGGCTACGGGGCCATACCTGTCACCTGAGGATCAGAAGAAGCAAGTCCACCGGCTTCCTCTGATGTCCCGGGACCCCTGCCCTGTCTCTCCCTCGAGCGTGCCTCCCACCTGGCCATACCTTACCCACTTTTCTTTCTCTTTTCTTTCAGTGTTTGACCTTCTGAGAAAGGGGTGAGTTCCCATCCTGATCAGGCAGGTCAAGTCTGAACGGGGCCTTCCTTTCCCTCCCGGTGTCTCTAGTCTTAGGGTTAACTGCCCCAGGAGGAAGCAGAGGCTCAGGCTCTGCCCTTGCTGGGGTTGGGGGTGCGGGCAGGTGGGGCTCTGGTCTGGGGAAAATGAGAGACATAAAGGACAATTCTTGTCAGGATGGAGTCAGTGGGTCACCAAGGGAGGTACCTCTTGAGCAATTGTGCTCTGAGTGAGGAAGCCTTGGTGGAGATTAAGAGAAGGAAATGGAGGAGATGGGTATTCAGATCACAAAGGGTTCTTTTTTCATCTGAAATAAGATATTTATACCATATACAATTAATATAGCTTGAGATCTAAGAATAGCATATTTTCCCCCTAAAGGGTTCTTTCATCTTTACAACAAGCTTGGGAGCTGGGTGGGTAGATATCGTTCCCTTCCACTTATGCCCTGGGCTGTTGAGGGTCAGAGAGGGCAAGTGACTTGCCCAAGGTCACACAGCAAGGTTACACTACAGGAACCTTGGCCTCTTAACTCCCCGCTGGCTTTTTCAGGGTGTTTGCAGAGCAGCAGACAGGCACAGGGCTGAGGTGTGCAATGCAGACTGGAGCTTGTGCCCCTGCTGTGCGCCTTCTCGAAGCCCAATGTTTTTAGAGGGCAGAAGGAGAGGAAAGAGGAGTATCCTTTGAGACTCGGGGGACTTTCAAAGTCTTTTTGACCTCCATTCATAATAAGAAGTAGAATTGTTACATTGCTTCCTTTATCTGCCACAGAAACCAGTTTTACCAGCTAGTCGATCTCCTTATGACAGGCAACACGTTCTAGTACGTTCTGTGTTGTTACAAAAGCCAGCAGTTGCCATTCCATAAATGGACTTCCCGATCTTCCACCGGATCTGGATTCACAGTACCGATAATTAAGTACTTGGAAGAGAGAATTTCCCAAGCCCATCAGAAATGAAGATAAAGAGAATTTGAAATGATAGTGATCAAAGGACAGTTGTATCCGTGTGCGTTTTGAAATCGTCCTTTTACGGTAGAAGCCGCTTGGGTTCTAGGGGCTTGTGGAGCATCGGTGGCTCCGGAGATCGCTCAGGGTCTGCCCGCCTCTACTCGTCTTGATTTGTGCCAAACGCCCCCTCCTATAGACCTGTCATGGAAGTGCCCTGCGACAAGCCCTTCCCCGAGGAGCAAGCTCGGCTGTATCTGCGGGACATCGTCTTGGGCCTGGAGTACCGTGAGTGACAGGCTGCTCGTGTCGTGCAGGGAGGGGCGCGCCCAGACAGAGCAGGGCTCAATTATTTCTGCGCGTCAACACTGACACTGCCAATCAAGCTCAGGGAGGGGCGGGGCATTTGGCCCGTGGGTGGGGCCAGAGGCTCCCGGAAAGGAAGGGCACGGTGGAGTCACTGGGCATGCGCGGGGCCCCTCCCGGGCGCTCAGGAGGGAGGATATTAATTTAGCTTCGGTTTCTGGAACCCGTTTATTCATTCGTGGGTTCAGCGACATTGATTGAGCACCTACCAAGCGCTGAACAGTTCCTGAGGGGTACAAATGGCTTGCCCCCTGCAGCTTACCCGGAACTTGGTGGCTCACACCCAGCCAGCAGGCTGGGGACGGAAGAAAGCCCCGCTGATCGGCCTCCATAGAGATTGCAGCCCGCGTGTAACACCCCGGGGCGCTGTTCTACTGCGTGGCCATGATTCCGAATGAACTTGATGGCGACGGGTTTTGCTTTTACTCAGTGCTCGCTCAGGGTGCGTTTAGGAGGGGACAGCGATCACAGAGACCCCACCTGGCTTCAGAATCTCAGGGTCGGGGCAGGAGGGACGGTTGAAGGGCAGGCAGATAGAGTGTGGTGCCTTCCAGGTCTGTGGAGGTACAGACAGACAAGCCCACTCAGGGGAAGCTATCTTTTACCAGGGTGCTGGAGGAGGAGGAGGAGGAGAATGGCTTGGCCAGGCACAGCAGGGAGGAGGGCAAGGACTGCTTGAGGTCAAGGGGAAGGTCAGTCTGGTTGGAGCTTCCAGTGGGCAGGAGGTGGGAGGGGGCGGTCAGTGAAGGAAGAAACTGGGGACACTTGTCCGGTCATGCTGTGCTGGCTGGGAATGCCGGGCTGATGCATCAGCCCGCCAGCCACATCAGCTTGCCAGTCGTGTGAACCCCCGGCTGGGGTGGGTGGGTGGGGTGACCAGCTGGCCAGGGAGGTGGCTGATTTTACAGCCTGAGGGACAGAAGGTGCAGCCTGATTAGGGAAGGGGACAGTGAGGGAAGATGGGAGGTGGCGTGACTGGCTGCTCTGGAAGTGGGGTGGGACCCGCAAGCCCAGCATCTTAGCCTGGTTGGGGAGAGCATACCATGTCCCCAGGAGAACAAGGTGCAGTCTGAGGTGTGACCTCAGGAACCAAGCTGGTCTCACTTGAGCCTCACCAGTGTCCTCGGATCCCCTCATGGTACATGTGGGGAAATTGAGACACAGGGAGGAAAGGGCTTTGCAGCAAGTCCTTAGCAAGTCCATCCTGCGAGTTTGGAAAGGGGATGTTGAGATTCGTGTGATGGATAGTCGAGTGGATTGAGAGCCTGGAGTCCAGGGGGCAGGCGAGGGTCTGAGCTCATTTGAAACCACATTTCGTGGTCCAGCACACAGTGACCGCGCCTCTGAGCTCTGATAGGTGTGTGTGAAACCCCGTCTGTGCTCCAGTTACATACCAGGCTCGTTGGTTTTGTCGTTGTTGTTCTATGACACTCATTCCTCTATGCCTGGCCTTGCTCCCCGCTTCTCTTCCCCTCTCTGCTCTCTCTCCACAAGGGGGTGACTGTGGGGTGGGCTCGGTACCTTCCTCTCAGTCTGAGCTGCTCATCCCTGTCCAGCAGTGCTGGAACCTGGGGGGAAATACGAGTTCCCAGGCTCTAGAGAAGGCCAACCCACACCCCGGGCGAGCTCAGCTCCCCACAGCAGTCCCTTCATCTCTGAAACCCCATCAGTCCCCAGTCCCTCGAGCCACGGCAGTGCCTCTGTCGAATGCCCTGGCCTTCACGGTCCAACCCTTAGCCCAGGGAGTATGACATCTCTGATCAGCCTGACGTAGATGGGGGAAGTGGGTTTTTTTTAATGGGTTTGGGGCTTATAAATGAATGTGGAGAGCCCCTCTTTAGGCTGTGAGGGGCAGAGGTGGCCTGGCAAGAGGCCCCCACCCTAATCTCCTGTGAGCTCCCCTCTTAGCTACTGGTGTCTTCGGTGCTGTGGAGAAGGCTTGGAGCCCTGTGAAGATTCCAGACCCGACCCGTTTCTCCCAACAACCGGGCCTCCGGGGAGCAGGGGCTCTCTGGATGGCTGGATGTCCTGCTGAGTTCCTCAGGAGATT